AAAAATTAGTTCCTATTAAGATGTCTACAGTTGGGGCTAGGGTTGTGGCTCAGTGGTAGAGTGCTCACCTGGCATGCATGAGGCACTGGGTTCGATCCTCAGAACCCATATAAATGTAAAATAAAGATATTGTGTTCACCTAAAACTAAAAAAATAAATATTTAGAAAAAGATGTCTATAATTTTGTTGCAATGTGCAGAAAATATGTGTTCAATTATTGCCTACAATACAAATAGTAAATTTGCAAAAATGTTTTATAATTTTAAATGGTGGACAAAGAAAGAATAGAAGTGGTGTAGGATGTTGTGTTTATGAGGTAGGAGAAAAGAAGATAGAAGTAAAAATGATAGGAAGAGTGAAATAGGAATTAATAGAGGTTGGTTGTTAGCAGAAGAAAATAAAGAAAGAGAAACCAGTAAGTGATAGTAAAAAATATATATAAACTAATTTTTTAATTAAAAAGAACAGAAGAAAGTAAAAATAAAAGAATACACAATAAAACTGTAACATACTATTCAGACATCCCAGTTCTCAATAAACTGATATATGCAAAATACTTAGTTTCAAAAATGGTAGAAATGTGACAGAAAAAAGAAAAAAAGAATCTTGAAAAATTAAACAATTGTTTTCACTGCAGTTCAAAAAGTTTCTCAGCTTCCCTTCTAAGCAATTAGGTCTGGAGTTTGATTCTAGCTCTACCCTCGGGATGGTTGGGGTTAGTATGGTGGGAGGCTTAGTCCTAGAGGCAGAACTCCTGGAGGTGGGATATAGGCTAGGTGTGCTCTAGTCTCTTTGCTGTGTGCCAATTGGTCTGAAGATTTGATGTCAGCACACCTCCAGGGTCCAGCAATTGCCAGTCCATGTTGGAAAACTACATCTCAGGAATCTCCTTTGATTTCCTCTTGGATGGTATAGGAGCCTGTTCTTAGCCCCTTATGTCACCTGCAAACCCCACAATTCCTGGTCTCTGACTTAGTCTCCCAACTCAATCTCTCCTGCCCCCACCATTTTGAATTCCTGGTCAGGCACTTCTCTCCCAGCCAGTCCTGAGGCCTGGGTACCAGGATCTGTGTACCCTTTGCAGAGCTGTGTGCTGGACTTGGCAGATAAGAGGCATGTGGGGCCCAGCCACATCAGGGACCCAGCTGTTCTGTCAGGTGAATCAACACCAGGCACTGACACCTGTAGGTCAGGGGTGAAGCTATCAGTGATGAGTTAGTCTGGGGTGTATGGAGGGTTTGGGAAACTGGGGACTGGATATCTGGATGGCCCTATTGGATGCTGGACTGATGCCAAACCTGGTGGGATCAAGGGACTGGTGGGTGCTGGACTACGAAGGGAGTCAGGGATAAGACTTGTGCCAGAACCCAGGAAGTACCAGTCTGAGTGGGCCCAGGAACCCAGTAGGTGATGGACCAGCCTCTGGACTCAGGGAGCTGGGGAGAGCCTAGCTTTCTCCAGCCTCTCTAACCTGTCTTCCCCTGGGCAAAACGCTCCCAGTTTCTGACTTTCCCCAGGATTGCTAGGATCAGACAGGCCCACACCAACCAAGTGACAAACTCACAGATCTGCGTTTCAGTTTCCATAGGATCTGCCAAACTGTAATCTCAAAATGGCTTTCAGATTGAGGACAATTGATAAACTCCGGTGGAGAGGATTTTAGGTTTTGGTTTTGTTTTATTTTGTTTTGTTTATTCGATTAATGAGTCTTGCTGTCTTGGTTAGGGCAGACTGCCCCTCCAGACTCAGGAATTTTCATTCTAATCCTTGGGGAAAAATGGGATTCCCTCTATTTGAGTTCTGGGTAGCTAAGTTAAGAGAAATGCTGCCTGACACTAATCCACAATCTTCCCTCTCCTCAATTGAATTTCTTTGCTGAGTTTTAAGTAGGTTATTTGTCTACTTAAAACTATTGTTGAGTTGTAATAGGTTTTATGTATTTTGCAAACAGGTTCCCTATAAAATACATGATTTGGAAAATTCTCTCCATAATGTGGATTTTTTTCTCTATGTTTTGCATATGACATTTGGGAACATTGTCATTTGAAATATGAAACATTTTAATTTTAATGAAGTTGAATTGATCTACTTTTTCTTTTATTGTTTCAGTTTTTGGTATCATATTTCTTGCTTCAGATTGTCAAATCCAAGGCTGTGAAGATTTACACCCATATTTTCTTCAAGGGTTTTTATAGTCTTGGCTTGGTTGTCTCATTCATTGGGTTAATTTTTATATATGATGCGTGGTATAAATCACCTTTTATATTTTTGCTCATGAATTGTCCATTGTCCCAGCAATATTGAAAGCAATATCAAACTACTCCTTCTCCATGAAAGCAAATTGATACCTTGTCAAAAATAAAAAGATCATAAATGAAAGTATATATTTTCCTTTATTCAATTGATATGTCACATTGATTCTTAAACCTTATATTCTTGAGATAAATCTAACATGGTCATGATGTATATAATTCTTTATGTATACAACTAACTTCAGTTTCTTAGTATTTTGTCAAGGAGACTGTGTGTGTGTGTGTGTGTGTGTGTGTGTGTGTGTGTGTGTTGTGTGTACACATATATATAGAATACATATATTCTTCAGGGATATTGGTCAGTTGTTTTTATTTCTGTGCAGTATTTGTCATATTTTGGTATGAGGAAAATACTGGCATCATTTAAAGGTAGATAAGCTACAAAATCATACCATGTTCTGTTTTCAGGTTATTCTCTTAACTGAAGGTATGAGTCATCTGAGTGAGTAATCCAATTCCTAATATGGACAATCTACTCCAAAAATAGGGCATAAGATAAAGTTCTAATGAATTTTTCAGGATGCTTGGGCTGCCTTTTCAGTTTGGAAAAGTTGAGGCGCATTACACAAGGGTACTTCACGCTTATCCACAATATCTTCCTCCTGGGGCTCCACTGACAGCTCACCACAAACAGCAGCACAGGAAACCACATGAAGACCATTTGATGTCACAGAGTGCAAGTGGTGATCCAACAGCAAAGCCCTGAAACTTTCTTCTTATGGGAAGCAAAAGTTCTGTGTCACTAAATGAAGAACTGCAAACCTTTACTTTAGGGTACAGAAAAACTCAGTGCTTCTGAAGAAGAAGTAGAAGCAAAACAATTCTGCCTCTTGCTTCTTTTCTCTTGTTTAGGGGTGAAGGAAAAATTCTCTACCAAGGAGTTGGTAAGAAAAAAAAACAACCTTGGATCTGGAAACCAAAACTAATACTAACCAGAGGTCTGCTCACTACTGAGGAAGTATTATAAAACAGCTACAAAAGATCAACCACAGGTACATTTCAGTTCGATCCTGTGGGGAGAAGCAGCACAGATGCTGAGAAGATGCACACTGTAAATTCAAACACAAAAGGTATTTTCTGCCACAATGAACTTAACACCAAGTAATAAGAATGAGATCTGAGGGAAGAGAGAAGCCAAGGCTATCATAAAATACCGTAGAACAGGTGGTTTAACTACAGAACTTTTCCCCTCAGAGTTCTTTTTTTTTTAGAAAATGTCCTACAATGTGCATTTTATTTCATATCATTATACAATGTTTACATATAGTTATAACTCTCAAGAAAATGTATTTTCTTTACCAATTGTATGTAGTGCCTAAATCTTTCACTTTAACATGGACAATGGGAAAGAGTGGAAATCCACATTGAATGCTATTCTACAGAAGTTGTAATGGGCTGCAAGTCTGCCAATCAGAAAGGAATGGAAGTCTTAGAAGAGAATTGTGGCTTTCAAATCCTTGGCTTCAGTGAACACAAGCATACCGGATCCATAGTCTCATCTTGCAGTAAAACTCAAGACAAAATAGTGTTGGACAAAATTCTAAATTGTACAATATTGAACAAAAGACCACAGGGGACATTTTGTTTAAAGTAGCACCAATCCACAACTGATTGTCTCCGACATCAATCTTCCTGTTGCCCCTATCATTGGCACTTTGAGTGGAAATCTTTCTGCTTCAGTAAGGAGTCTTCCACTGACTAAGCAAACTGTGTGGCTAAACTCTACATAAAGTGTGTCAATGTCAACCTGAGAAATGGCACATTTAAACCATTATTGCCCTAACATGGGCTTGCCTTTTTGGTGTTTTCTCCCTACCTCCTGCCCTAGCTGGTGTTTTGTGGATGTTTCTGTGACTGTGGTAAAAGTAAATAAAAATGCATTTAAGGGGTATCATGGTAAGCAGGTGTTTAAAAACAAAACAACAAAAAATAAAATAAAAGAATGTGGCCACAGCTAAGGAGGTTTTCTCATGTTGTTTAACTCCAGTAAAGTTTGATCCAGCATTTGATGCATACTAAGGTTTTCTTCTTTGGCATGAGCCACTTTCTCTTCTAAGTCATCAATGCTTTTCTCCAATTTAGTTACTGACCTCTCCGCAAACTCAGCCCGAGTCTCAGCCTCCTTCAGCTTGTCAGAATGGACCTTGATCTCTTCCTCATATTTCTCTTCCTTCTGAGAGTACTTATCCTCTGCAGCCATTAATGCTTTCAAGGTCTGATCCATTATTCTTAATTGCTCTTCCAGCTGTTGAACTTGGCCTTCTGAGAACTCAGCCCGCTCCTCTGCACGTTCCAGGTCACTTTCAATGATGACCAGTTTACCGCCACCTCTTCATATTTTCGGTCGTCATCTTCAGCAATGTGCTTGGCCTCTTTCAGTTGGATCTCCTGAATTTCCATTTTTTCTTCATCCTTTTGGGCTCTTCTTTCAATGACTTTCATGCCTCTCGCTTTCATCTGCTGCTTTTTCAGCCTCCACCAGCTTCTGCAAAGCTGTTGCCAGACGCTCCTGAGCAGGATCCAACTCTTCCTCAACCAGCTGGATGCGGCTGTTCAGAATCAGCTTCAGCAGTCTCCCTCAG